ATATTATAAATTTATAAAATCAATCGGTTAATTGATTAAATTTAAATTAATATTTATATTTTTAATAAATATTAATTATAAAAAAATATATTTATTATATTTTTATCTTATACTCTTAAAACACAAGATAAATTTTTTTAATTTATTATCAATTAAAAAACTTATTTTAATTATTGATGGAGGGTTGTGCCCCCTGTCAAACAGTTTTTCCCTCCACCCTTTCTTAAATAATTATAAAAAATGTAATATACTCAGATACTTTTGAAAAGAAACTCTATTTTTTGTAAAAAAAAAAAGAGACGATGAGAGAGAAAGTAAGAGAGAGAGGCAGAGAGAGAGGTAGGGCTCCGGACAGCAGACACAGATTACGAACCAGATGGACAGCACTGGGCAAGGAGTTCTCCAGATCGAGAGGGAGAAGCAGGCAAAGACGATCGGCAGCAGCTTGGCAGAGGGACCAAAACATGTATCAGAATCAGAGTACATACAAGGAATGGGGGTATGACAGAGGGATATACAAACAGGCCACTACATTCTTCTTCACAAATTTCCCAGAGGAGTGGAACTATGAAGATATGTGGAAAACTTTTGGGAAGTATGGAAGGATTTTCGCAATCTACAGTCCAGAAAGAAGGAGTAGGAATGGTGGAAGGTTTGGGTTTGTCAGGTTCCTAGATTTGAAGAATAGCAAGGATTTGGAAAGGCAACTTGACCAGATTCGGGTTGAAGGAAGAAAGATATGGTGAATCTAGCAAAATACCCAAAGGAAGAAAGACCAAGACAAAAGCACTGAGTGGGGTTGAACACAGTTACTATTGACCAAGAGAGAACATTTGCAGATGTAGTAAAAGGAAAACAGGGGGTCAATATGGGGAACACCAGGGTTGAGCCGAAGGAAAGGATAGAGTTGAATGCACTAGGTAAGGACAAAAGTAGAATGAGGAATGGACAGGAAGAGCAGAGACAGGTGTGGAAGATAAAAAACAGGGAGGAGGAGTGGAATGGCATTGAGTACAATGTACAGGAAGGGGATTATGAATGGTTACAAGGGTGTTTTGTGGGGACTGCACATTCAGTGCAAATAGTGCCAAATCTGCAAGAAAAATTTTTCATGGAGGGGTATTTTTCCTATCGACTACAAGCCATGGGGGGCAAACTCGTCCTCATGGATTGTGAAGACAAGGAAGAACTTAAAGACCTAGTGAAGAACGGAGCAGATTGGTTGAGCCAATGGTTTTCTGAGGTAAGACCATGGACGCCATCCATGGTGGCAAAGGAAAGGTTCGTTTGGATGAGATGTTAGGGGGCTCTGCTGGATGCTTGGGGTCCTGGTTTTTTTAATTCCATGGCATCTGTATGGGGATGTTTATATATCTTGATGATAGCACAAGCAAGAAGAGAAGGTTTGATATAGCTAGATTCCTCATCTCCATAGAGTGTATGGATCCAATATCAGTTCAAAAAGCAGTTAAAGTCAATGGAGATCTATATACTTTGAAATTCACAGAAGAGGAACTAACAAACAGCTTGTTCTCCTTAAGACAAGATTTTATGGCAAAATTCCTGAGCGAATCAGAGCATGAAGACTCATGGTCACTTAGTAGTAGTGATTATGGGAATAACCAGCAGGATGTAGATGAGGACAAAACGCAGAAGCAGAGGGAGCTGAATAACGGTGAAGAAGACGACGGACGAAAGTCACGCCGGTGCAGAAAGGAAGCCAAAGGAGGCGCCATCCTTGTAGATAGTGAGGTCCAGTTGGCTTCTGACAAATGCAGCTTCTCTGCAAGTGGAATTAATGAAGGGTATGGAAACTCCCAATCTTTACTCAAAAATGAAGAAACCGTGGAAGGAGTGGCAGACAGCATTGATGATGGAGTAGAAACGGATGGGACAGTAGATAGCAGAAAGGATGGACTGCATGGGGGTGGTTTGAATTCAAAAATTGACAGCCAAATAATAGAAAGAGAAGAAGCAGACAAGGAGTATGTGGGCCAGGGAGCTGAGCATAGCAGTTGGAGGACGAGCCTTTGTCTCAAACGGCCTAATGGCAAAGGAGTAGCACAGGCTTGTGAGGAGAAATCAGCCAACAGTTGGGTCGGGGTAGAGCCAAGGGAAGAGAATGGGCCGAGAGAGGAAGTGATGCCGGAGAAAAAACAAAAGGAAGATCTAAAGAACAAAGCCGAAAACAGCAACACATTCTGGGAAGGGTTTGAAAGTGAAGAAGGTAGCGAGAAAGAATGGATGGGAAGAATGACTCAAAGGGAAAAAAAGAGAAGAAGAAAAGGGGCCAAATCATGTAGTCTTGTATACCAGAAAACAACAAAGTTGGGGCAATTTCACCAAAAGAAAAGAGGAAGAGGCAGATCCAACTCACGGGAAACCAAGGGAGAGGTAATCCCAGAATTCTTACCGGGCACAAGTAACTTAGTTGTAGGTGGATCAATTGGAGACAGCGGCATAGAAAACTGTAATAGACTACTGAAGACACAACCAAGCCGAAAAATTGCAGAAGATTTGTGGGACTTTGCTAAACAATTGGGGGTGATAGCCGAGAATGAGGAAGTGATGATCAAGAATTTGGAAGAAATGGAGAACAGAGACAGAAAAGCCAAGGCAGCAAGTTTGGATAAGATGGTATGTGGGGACATTCAGTGAATATTTTATCTTACAATATTAGAGGGTTAGGAGGTTGCGGAAAGAGGAGACAGATTAGAGAGCTAGTAAGGAAGGAAAAAATAGATTTTTTAGCAATACAAGAAACCAAAATGGGAATGATTGACAGAAGAGCTTGCAAATCAGTGTGGGGAATAGATGAGGTTGACTGGGTAGCAAAAAATGCAGAAGGTATGTCGGGTGGAATTCTTTGTGTATGGAACCTTAGAACCCTTAAAAAAAGAGAGTACTGGAAGGGGAGTACTGTATAGGTATTGAGGGGGTGTGGGGAATAGAAGAGGTACCTGTGTGCATAATTAATGTGTATTCACCTTGCCAAATAACGGGTAAAAGAGCACTGTGGACGGAATTGAAGAATATGGTGACATGAGGGGGGAGTATGTGGTGTGTTGTAGGGGATTTTAATGCTATTCGGAGAATTGAGGAAAGGTTGGGATGTAGAAGTGTGTCAACTGAAATGAGAGAGTTTGATTGTTTTATTCAAGAAACTGAGTTGATTGACCTTCCCCTTGCCGGTAGGAAGTTCACCTGGTACCACTCAAATGGGAATCAAATGAGTAGAATTGATAGATTCTTATTGACTGAAGGATGGCTTTCAAAATGGTGTGACACTAAACAGTGGGGACTAATCAGAATAGTGCAGACCATTGTCCAATAATGCTGAAAGTCCATAAAACGGATTGGGGACCTAAGCCATTCAAGTTCTTTGATGCTTGGCTCGATGACCAAGGGTATAGAGAGTTGATTTTGGAGGTTTGGAACAATGAAAAAATCCAAGGGTGGGCAGGATTCCAACTAAAAGAAAAGCTGAAGACAACTAAAAATGCCCTACGGGAATGGAGTAGAAATTTTGTTGAACAAGTGGATGCTAAAATAAATTCTTCTAGAGTGGTGATTGAACAACTTGATTTGAAGGGTGAACAAGGCCAACTCACGGAAGAGGAAATTAACAAAAGAAAGGAGGCACTCCTAGATATATGGAAAAATATGAATACCAAAGAGAGAATGGCACAACATAAGTCAAGGAAAACCTGGTTGGTTAACGGGGATGCAAACACCAACTTCTTCCACAATTGTGTCAAAGGCAAATGGAGAATCACAAAAATGAACAGTATACAAATCAAAGATTCTCAACTGGTTAAGCCTACCATAATGAAAGAGGAAATTGCAAATTTCTTTGAAAACATGTTCAAAGAGGAGAACTGCGAAAGACCAAAACTGGAAGGCATCAGTTTTCAGTAGATAACAGAGCAAGAAAATGCATCACTTGTAGCTCCATTTTCAGAAGATGAGATCAAAGCAGCAGTATGGGATTGTGAATGCTCAAAAGCACCGGGTCCAGACAGGTTTAATTTCAGATTTGTTAGAAGGGAGTGGGAGACAATCAAAGGAGACGTGATAGGATTCATAAAGGAGTTTCAAGAAAAAGGAAAGCTGGTCAGAGGGCTGAATTCCTCATTTATTGTCTTGGTGCCAAAAGTGAATAATCCATAGAGGATAGAAGAATACAGGCCCATATCCCTTATTGGTGCTGTGTACAAGATCCTTGCCAAACTATTAGCCAATCGACTCAAAAAAGCACTCGATCAAGTGATTGGCAAGCAGCAAATGGCATTCATAGGTGGAAGACAACTAATGGATGGGGTTGTGATTGCAAATGAGGTAATAGACGAAGCAAAGAAGAAGAAAAGGAAAAGCTTCCTATTTAAGATTGATTTCGAGAAGGCTTATGACAAAGTGTGTTGGAAGTTCCTTGATTGTATGATGCAGAAGCTGGGGTTTTGCGCCACTTGGAGAAGGTGGATCATGGAGTGCTTGAGAACTAGCCAAGTTTCAGTATTGGTGAATGGCAGCCCTACTAGACAGTTCAATATCAGCCAGGGCCTTAGACAAGGAGATCCCCTATCTCCTTTTCTGTTCTTGATTGTTGCAGAGGGATTAAATGGGATGATTACCACGGCAGTGCAGAAGGGACTACTGGAGGGTGTGGAGGTAGGATCCAAAGGATACAAGGTATCACACCTACAATTTGCAGACAATACAATACTTTTTTGGCTCTGCAACGGAGCAAAATGTCTGGGCAATGAAAGGCATTATGAGATCATTTGAGCTTGTTTTGGGCTTGAAGGTCAATTTCAACAAAAGTTAACTCCTGGGTATTGCGGTGAACGAGGAGTGGCTTGACAAAATGGCATGGGTGTTATGCTGCAGAAAGGGTAATTTCCCATTTAAATACCTTGGAGTCCCTATTGGTGGAAGTCATAGAAAGCTGCATTTTTGGAAGCCATTGGTGGATGTTTTCTCGAAAAAACTGTCTGCATGGAAAGGCCGATTCTTATCTCTTGGTGGAAGGATAACTCTTATTAACTCAGTGCTGTCTAGCTTGCCCGTATTCTGGATGTCGATGTACTGGATCCCATCAGGTACGATTCTTGCCTAAGATAAAATTAGAAGATGTTTCCTGTGGGGAGGGGCTGAGAAAGGGAAAAAAATTAGATGGGTGAGCTGGA